CGTGTGCTCTTCCGATCTTAAACATTTTTTGTATTAAACTTTGTTTGCGCTGAAAATCCATTTGAGGATATTCATTTGACACCATTCCGAGTATTTCTGCCAAAAATCATAACAATTAAGCGTGGGTCGTTTTTGGAAGTTCAGTCTATTTTTTTAATGCCAATTTGCTATTTCATGCATCCTCCATTATATACCTATCTCTCGTTTAATATTCGCAATTAATACTCGCTTTAATCTCTTGTTCTCTCATTAGTCGATGGATCGATAGATCTTTCGTGCAGACGTTCTATCAGCTAATAGAACCGCATAGCACTCAGCGGTTCTGGTTATCCTCAGACTTTGCAATGTGCACTTACTACAAAATTGCGGACGTGTCCCATCGGGCAGTTATCGCTGCACATGCTACGTGGAATGTGAAGCTCGCCGACTCCGGTCGCCCATCGTGTCATATTGATGTCCAGAGAGAGCCTGAGGGAGTAAATTAACCTTTAATTAGCAATCTGAACGCCACAGTGATTTCATCAGTGAATTGTTACACTGAAGGCACTCGAAGAGAAATGTTATGCAAACAAAGCCAATTTTTGTGGAGGATTCTTTACGAATACATAAAAAATCGTAATCATGGACTAAATATTTCATGGCTGAGTATTTCTTGTCTTGCATACTTTTTACATACAACTTTTTCTTATATTATTCTTACTTTTTATGTACTCCTTTTCATTTTGTTAGAATGCAACGAGTTGTTACGTAGCTAAAAATGATCAATGAGTAAACATGATATTGACGCGTAAAGGATAATATAAGTACAAATTTCAGATGATCAATGAACGATACAAATCATTACTGTGTGTATCCAGAATTGAATAAAATAAATACTAGTAAAAATATTTCAAATGCAAATATAAAATATAAACAGTGTGTACAAAATAATTTTGATAAATACATTTTAATTCGCCTCGAAATATGTTGTGGAATCCTTAGAAATTTCTACGTGGACTGATAGTTGTATCACATCAATTTTTTTACCTGAATTGTAATAGTATAGATACATAAAATATAAGAGGGTTAAAGATTAACACGACAGTTTATACAACCCGTATGACAAATGGCAAAGTCTGCGGATCCCGTTTGAATCAAAGGTCGCAAAGGATATTGACTTACTCTTCCTTCCACGTGCCAATAAGGGTGTAATCGAAACGACCCTCGTCCTTCCTTTGATATTGATAGATGTTGTAAAATCCGTAGGCATCCCCGTCGGAGTTAAACTTAATTTCCGTGTTTTGGCGACCTAAAACAAAATAGGAATGTTAACTTCGTAATCTAAACACAACAGTTACGCGAATGTAGTGTAGTTTAACTGTGCTTAAAGAAGCTGGTATGTAAAATTGAGCTTTTGGGAACTGCAAGGCGATTGAATAAATCGTACGTATTTTTACATATTTAGAGTCGTAGAATGCGAAAATAACCATAAATATTACAGCTGTACAGGAAAAACATGGAAAATAAAGGAAAATGAGAAAAAACGTGAAATTATTAAAATTTCCGGATATAATTTTCTTATATTAATTTTTATGTTTTCTTGCGTATTTTGAGTCACAAAATTTCGAAACAGCTATCTAAAGATATTCAAGATATGTACAAGGTGTGCAAAAGTTCCGATCCGGCAAAATATCTCGAAAAACATAGTTTTTTTTCGTAAAAAAAAATGTTTGAGATAAAAGTTGTAAGACTTAAAAATCTCTATTTATTCTTTTTTTTAACAGTTTAATTGGTTACGTCGCCGAAGATTACCTTGAATCTTTTAAGTGCCTTACCCCTTATATTTTTTATTACACTTACTTTATTATACTTACGGCCGTCCTTGACTCTTTCAAAATGTTGTAGTTATATTCACATTACATCTGCAGCCGTTTTAAAGTTATTGAGACATTTTATATTTAATATAAGATGTCCAGCCAATGAAAGCAAGATCGTTTGTTTATTCAGCCAACGAAGGCAATTAAGACCGTTGGTTGATCCAGCCAACGAATGCAAGATGATCGTTGAATGATCCTACCCACGAAGGTAAAATCATTGATCCAGCCAACGATTTTAACGATATCAACGATATTAATATCTTGAGTATCTGTAGGGCTGCATTCCACTTAACGCTCGCAACGCTCTTGGAATCATTTCAGCCTTGTTGTTTACCAAATGTTAAACAAGAACAAATAATGTTCGCGAGCGTGGCGAGCGTTAAGTGGAACACAGCCTAAATAGTTGGTTCGAGATTTTGTGACTTAAAACACGCAAAAAAATGGAAAAGTAAGAAAATTACATCCAACAGTTTTAACAATTTTGCGATTTTTTCTCATTTTCCTTAATTTTCCATGTTTTTCCCGTTAATAGCGTAATTTTTATCATCATTTTCGGATTTTGCGACTCAATCGTACATAAATATACGTACAATTTATTCGATCGCCTTGCAGTTCCCAAAATTTATAGGAAGTTAGATTAAATTTATTGCTTTTAAACATTAACGGTATTATTAAGAGTGCATTCCAATATTCACTGTTGCAGTACTGAAAATATAAAATTCACATTACATATGTACTATAGATTTTCAGTACTATAACAGTGAATATTGGAATGCACTCTTAATAATGACATTAATATTTAAAAACAATAAATTTAATCTAACTTCCTATAAAAATAAGTAATATAAAGAAACACTTGCTCTATATACAGACTAGTTTTAAGTTTTAATATATTTATTATTACATTTAACATGATAATCAAATATTATAAATTTCAAGTCTTATAATTAAACTTATTTTAGTATATAGTACAAGAAAGTAACATGAAAATTGTTATTTTTCAAGTAACAGTACTTAATGTAAGTAATTATTTTTTAAAATCAGTAACAAGTAACTGTAACAAGTTACTTTTTATAAAAAATAAAGGTAACGCGTTATATTTTTTTTAAATAACGTTTCCAATTTTGTATGTATATTATATAGTCGACTCACATATGTTAGAGTCCTGAGAATCACGTATATAATCGGTGAGTATTACCTTTTTAAAATAGTTAATAAAGTTAATGATAAAATAATTACAAAATATAAATTTAAAAAAATTGAAAAGTAAAACATGTGAAATTCTGTAAATAATATGGTTCAAAGAATTAGAGATAAGCACACGTTTATCGGCATGAGATTAAAACAGGTTTAGACGTTTTGTCTGCGAAATTATGCCAGCCATTTTATACATTACGATTTATTTATAAGACACTACCAGAAAAAAGACCAGCGCGCAGCTTTTTTTTATCCTTGTTAGGGTCTATCTCCTTTTCTCAGTTTATCTCTCCACCCTCGTTGTAATAATTCGATGCGATCAGTACCGGCAAGTATATATGTATAAGGCGACAGGTATACAAAGTGTTATTTCTAAGAAACACACACACACACACACACCGCCAATGGAGAAAATAGGTGGTATAAAAAAAGCTCACAAAAAAAATAGGTTATACAGATATATCAAAGAGAAAAAAAAGATTTCGTATGCGAGGGCGAAGAAAATTATGAGTTTCTATGAGGATAAAAAATCGTGAAGGAAGAGCAGTTATCGTGGTAAGACGTGGAAAAGATTATGAAAGTCGCGGCAATAATGTAGCAATATATTTTCTCGCAATCATCTTCAACGTTGTGCAATTTCGCCTGTTGCTAGGTCAAGCTAAATCTTTCGTTTTAAGGCTTCTATTTTTTTTTTATATTCTGTAAACTAAAGAAAGTGAGTTTCAAATTAAATTACAATAAAAGATATGTAGGGAAATGAGATTATATAATCAATATAAAAAATTTTAGTTAAGTATCTTTATCTTTTAAACTAAATTGTTTTTAATAATCTTACGAAATAATTTGGAGAAAATCATGATTGAAGGCGGTATAAATATATATATATATATATATATACATGTATGTATATATATATGTATATATGTATATATGTATATGTAATTTATATATTAAAATTGTTAAAAACTTACATTTTTTAATTTAAACCGAGAAATTTATAAGTATAATATGTGAATAATATCATCAGAAATACATCTCACAATCATTTCCGTTTATTCGATAAGCCTATTAGCAGTTTCATCAGGATGCAAAACTAATGGGAATGCATGAAAGAGGATACTTCTCGCTAGTCCATTAAGTTTTTGTTATTATTTTAATTTTCTCCCACAAAGAGAAACCTGCAAAACCTGCGGCAATAAAAGCTACGAGGCGCGTTTAGTACGATGAAATTTGCCCAGAGGTTTATTCGTTCCTCGTACAAGTATCAGAGTATATGTACGTGAATATCACGGGGTGCAAGCAGGTGCAGGATTGTCAGGGCTAGTAAATAAGTTTGACAAAGGAAAATACGTGTACATTGTTATTCCGCGTACGTAAGCGCTTCAGATTTGTGCTGCGGGAGCTTGTCGGCAAAACGCTCAAACAAGTTCGGGGCGTTTGTGCCAAGTTATCGTTATCATTATCGTTGTAGCGAAACCAGCATATCGATTATGCCGGGAAATTATGTTTCGCTGATGAATTTGAAAGTGATTGAACGATTTGAACAACAAATTATTCGCGTTTCAAATTAATTCAAGTAAGCGCACGCGACATCTTTCAAGAAATTTTCATTTTTAATTTATCTGATTAAGCAAAGCTATCATGTGCATAGCAGGAAGCCATCTATTTCACTTTCTGCACATTTCACATTATCTCTAAATAATCTTTACTTCTGATCGCGCATTTCTCAGCACGCGCGAATAAGTAATTATTTGCACAGAGATACACAAAGATTTTTTTGTTAAATATACCTATTGAAAATTTGTTTTCCCCTCGCTTATTTTCATAAAAGTATCAATCTGTTATTTATCTGTAATAAACCAACTAAATAAAGTATAATAATCAAAAGTCAAAAGAAAAAAAACGAAATAAAAGGATAATATCGAGTGGAAATTTTCATTCTCGGAGGAGGGGGAGGGAAAGGAAGGTTTTCGCGGTAGGTTTTATTGTCAGTTTCTTTGCGAAAATGTTACGGGAAGAAATGAGGGTTTGAGATGCATAGCTTTTTTCTTCCGCGAGCGTTAAACAACTTAGAACATGAAATAAGTGTGTGTGTGTGTGTGTGTGTGTGTGTGTGTGAGCGCGTGTGTATGTGTGTGTGTGTGTGTGTGTAAGAACCAGATAACGTCCAAGTTTAAACCAAACTCTTTTCAGAGCTCTTACAGCTACGGCTATAAAGTTTTCTTTCGCGAAATCCAATTATCGAAAACAATCTGCAAATGTAAAAGAGTTCATTGTCTTTATTTGTGTTTATACGCATGGGCGTGTTGAATTCGTATATTACATACCGCACAGTAAAACAAATAATTAAGTGTTCGATTGGAATTCGTTCGAACTAGTCACCTAATTATATAATAGTTACGATACATACATATACGATAATTGGTATTTTTATTTTCGTTAATGTATTATAAACAAATCAAATTAGATCTCTTTAATTAATGAAAAAATATTGTTTTGTGTGTATCAAAACATTTGTTTAATAAGTAATGAGAGGGAAAATAATCAAATACGGCCGAGGCTAGATGTTAGTTGCCTATAATAATATTCTTAATTTAAAATCTTTTAAATTTGAGATATCGTAAATCATACGTCGATCATTGTTGGTCTTTAAGAACACAGCCAGGTTAAAACTGAAATAATATTACATGTCTATTAAATAGATCTTCGATTCGATGCTAATAAGCATCTTAAAATATGATAAAGGACTTATTGTGAGAAATATTATAAAACACCCTGCTCGAAATAAGATCGAGATGTTTCAGGTTCGAATCCTGACTAACAAGATAATACATATTTAAAATGCCGACAGTACCTAATTGGCACGCGGTTTGCGATAGCTGAAATTTAAAAGATTTAAAATTAAAAATATTATTAGATATTTGAATATATATAATACTTTTTTTCATGTAACACTATCCAACAAAATTTAATTTTTTCTTTCATTACGAGTGTGAATAGTAATTTCTGATATATTTTTGCCTGCTGAACACGAGTGCGTTGGCCAACGAAAATACGTCGCAAATGACTGTTCACATTCGTGATAAAAGAAAAAAAAATTAAATTTTGTCGGATAGTGTTACATGAGAAAAAGTATTATATGTATTCAAATTGCTGTATCTCGCGGAAACAAGAAATCAAATCGTAATGAACCAAAATATATTCTAAAGCTAAAAGTTGATGTTTTCATGTGGCATTAATGAAATTAAGTAAAAAAAACTGCTAACGCTGCAACGTTTTGAATATCCTCAAAATCATCATTTTTATTGCCTCTTTGAGGCGATTTTTTTTCAAAATTGTGACGTAATAGCCAACTTTTGCTAACGGATTTGTGTTCAGCAAGTAAAAATATGTCGAACTATGTAATGACTATTCGCACTCGTGATGCCAAATCGTATCACATTATATAAATATATTAATATATTGTTACTATTTATAATTTTGAGAGTCCTTAATTTTTCCTTATTTTAAATTTATACTGACTGAATGAACTTATGATTATCCTTTATATTTCTCATTCTTTAATTTTATTTATATGAGTTTGGCGACACTCCGGTTAAATTTATGAAACTATGGGTCAAACATCAGATATCATTATTAGAAACGAAGCGTCAGAATTAGATTTCTTAAATTATATGTATCGCCCATAATTATTGTTCAGCAACATCTTCGCAATGCAATGGTTAATTTCAAACTTAATTTAGTTCATAATCGTTCTCTCAAGTACAGTTTAATTAAGGTCTTCTTTCATATTTCGTTCAAAGAATCTACTATTTGTACAAGTCGAATTAACACTGCAAAAAACTTTGCGTAAAAAATATTGGATATGGATTAAGCGAATAAGAATAAATGTCTAGTACACCGCTGAGGTATTACCTATATATTCTGCAGTTTACCTTTCAGATTATCCTCCATTTATACCACTAATATTGATAAATGGAAGGTTATTTGAAGTAAGATATTCTGACACGAACTAAAACATTTCTGATAGAGCACAAATCAGTCTCAGCGATTAAAAGCAGACAAAAGCGTAAGAGCGCGAGATTGAAAGATGAGTTGGCGGTGTTATGAAATTATTGGAAAAGCTGGGGAAGGAACGAAAATAAGTTTGAACGTTAAGCAATGTCGTCATGATAAATCTCGACTGATACGCGATCGGGGGATGGCTCGTTAGGATAATCGCTGCGCATTAGCCATTTGATAGTGCGCCGCGCCGCGCCGCGCCGCGCCGCGTGCCGTAACGAGGGACAGTCTTAATTGTGCCGCGGAGTCATGTCCACTGACATGAAAGTATTACGTGTCGTTAAATCGGGAAAAGTGTTTTAATTGCAATATCGATGAGGCGTCGAGATTGCCACCCTTTGACGTCACTGATAGATCGCTTCTCGCGGGATGACGCAGTTGCAACTAGCGTACGCTTCGGAATTCCCTCGTGGGGAATATAATTGATCGATTTGTTCGAACCTCTCAATTTAACAGCTTTTTTCACATTCGACATATGCAGGAAAACGTTAACAAGTATTTGACCAATTAATCAATGCTACCTAGCTCGAGTTATTACAAACGCGGAAAATATATTCCTACGACACTCAATTATTTTTAAATCCACAAGCAGATAATAGATAATAGATAAGATAGATTGTAAAAGCATTAATAGCACTATAAGAGATGCAACTTAGTATTTCAAGTAAAATTACATATTCATATGCGCAGTTTTGAAATTTTGCTTAAAAATTAAATTAAACGTTAAATTAAAAATTATTTTGGAAGAACTTTGCGTAACTCACCGGTGAAGCTGACATTGCGAATGTGTTGAAGGAGTCGTGGACCGTCCGGTGCTGGTACAAGCGATTCGCAGAGATAATGCGACGTACCCAAATTATTTACGCATTCTTCCTCGATAACATTATGAACACCGTGTGCCATGGCGTAAACTGCATCCACTGCATCCAAATAATATGAAAATATTTTGTTTCACCCTTTCAATGTTTTAATAAACGCATATTATCTATCTGATCTGAGTTGAGAGCTTTCTAAATAAATAGAGAGGTATCGTGATAATTTAACAAAATATATCTGTTTCTAAGGAAAGTTTACTGAAGTTTACTAAAGAGAATTATATTTTTATAGATACTAAATAAGAAATTTATATGTTTTGCTTCTATATAGTCTTATCCAACTCATTTGTCAAACAATAAGATATGATACAAATTTTTCTTCAATTTAATTTAAAAAAAGGAACACTTGACACAATTAGACACCAGTTTTATTGTTCGAGCCATCTCGAAGATTTCATGTTATGCGATAGCGAGTGTGCTACCATTATTTATTTATTCACGAATAAAGAAAACGTCAAACGCAAATGGCTGCTTCCGAAAAAAACGTTTCAATGGCAGCTAATAAGACTTACAAGCGCTTTATAAGATTTATCTACCATCGTGATGCACTCGAACGTAAATCGAGTTTTCGATCGCTTCGCGTTCGACAAGACCCTGTCATTTATTTCACGGAAGGATAAGAAAGGGAAGAGAAAGGGAGAAAGAGAGCATTAAGCGAGATTCGGCAAAATGTGACGGTTGATTTCATGCAACTTTTCACGCGCCACCAGATGTGTTCGTTAACACAAAAAACCATAGTCGAGGAAAATTGCTTCGCTTGGTTCGCCGTCGTTTTCTTCCTTTCCATTTGTCGTGGTTTCGTCCCGCAGAAGTTTGTTGCAAAAGTTTATTCGATCTCATTCGTTGGAAGATACGCAATGGATCACGGAGTACAGTCAGCTGCAGTTAATTGCGAACACTGCAGGCGAATGCTTGTACGTACGGACAAATGATAGCAACCTGAGATTAATTGTGTGAAATTTATAGTTGTTTTGGAAATTTTACTCTCTTTTTACTTGCTTAAATTTTTTAATTAGATTTCTTTATAGGTTTGGAGGGAGGGGGATTCTTATAGATGTATGTTAGCATCAAAAATATTAAATTGCTCGTCAATTTAATTTGTTACAGTGGATTCCGACTTTATGCGACAAAAATGCGGCGCGCCATTGGATGCGGCTGAATATTGTAACAATAAAAATTATTATACACACCAACAGTCGTGTCGCGGTTCACATAGGCATTACTTTACTATTTCTGATTTATTAATTAGATTTATTTGAAACATACATATATTCAACATTAACTATTTAACAACATGAAACATGTATTTATTTAAATTGAGCATAAATCCACAATCTTTGAAAAATATTTTTAAAAAATCATAGAAGTTAAATGTGTATCTCTAAAACGAAGTCTTTAAAACCACATATTTATATGACCTTTTTTCATAAAATAACCTAAAAATTATCAACTCCAAAAATGTTAGACAGTACTTAAGAAATACTCTGTAAACTACTATATTCTGAAATCTGCGAATACATATGTATATCTTAAAAGATATATATATATATATATATATGTATATATATATACATATATGTATATATGTATGTATGTATAAAATACATATATAGTATAAATATATAATTGCTTTTTAAATATTATATTACATATTTTCCAAATTTTCTTCTAATTCGCGAATAAGAAAATGCAGACATGTTAATCAAATCGTTTTCGCCGAGTGCATGGTACGTACATAATTATACATGACGAAAAATAGACTAGATAATTTGTAAAATGTAAAATCAATTACAGAAATGGAAATCGTGTGGTGAGCAATCTTTTGAAGCGCACTGTTATCTCATTGCCTGACGTAAGTCTCGTTATATATCGGAATTACAGTTGAACAGAGACGACTAAGTTTTTCCGTTTCTGCTTTTGGGCTAGAAAAATGGTCGAAGGGTGACGAAAAGTTGGAGGGTTGCCGAGAATACTTCCTTTCCCTTTCACTCTTCTTTCAACCGATAACTATCTTTCCGTTCGTTTTGCTCCTCGCTCTTTTTTTTCACACCCATCATTTCCTTCGCACTTCAGGATATAAACGATCGCGAAATGTCCCCTATCTGCAAAGTGTTCCGATTCGCACATTCCGCAATTAATTAACTGTCACGACATGAATGGAAAGAGTTCATCCATTCGGTTTTGTTTTTCATTACGATGGAATTATAACTAATACTGGTTATTTACTTATCAGGACATTCAACAATGATAATAAATGGAAAGTCGCAGATCGATCTTTCTATCAAAATTAATAGCTTCAAGCTATATTAAACAGTTAATTGCCAATTCTCCCAAAATGAATTATCTCTTTCACAAAAATTTAATTAGAAACTTCAATATATCAGTTGAGTACTGAATTTCGAGAATTACAAATTCGAAACTAGGAGATAAAAATGCTGAAGTTTTCATTATTAACTCTTTCTACATATCCTTAGGTTAAAAATTTTATTGATAAATTATTTGTGTATATTTAATTTAGGGAGATGTTCAACTATCGTTATACATTTTTCCTTCCGCGCGTCATAAAAGTAAAATAGGCGTTTGGAGAGAAGTAGGTATAAATCAATGTAACGATAAGCTAAGATAAATTTATACATTACCGACAAAAGGCACCAAGCCCTCCTGTTCGTAATCGAAAAGGTTTTCTTCGCCAGTGCAGCGTGTCATGTCACTCGACGCGTTTACACTGAAAGTGCACTTGTGATGCTGTGACCAGAACTCTCGAAACCAGATATTCCGGCAGTTTACGATCACGTCCGTCAAAGACTTATGGGGAACATTGCTCTCCGTCTGGCCGCCGCATTCGTCGCCCATTCTTGGTCGCAATTTCAAATAATAGCTATCGAAATCTGCAACATCGAAATTGAACCGTACTTGTTACGATTGAACCGTTCATTAAGATTAAAAGTGAAATAAAAACATATTATACAAGAAAGCTAACTTTATTGAAATAGATTTATTTTTCATCTTAAATCATGTAGTTTTTTATCTTTAAATCTTGTACTCTATAAAGATAAAATTTTCCATTAATTTTTCTGATTATATATATATTTTAATCATTTTAATAATAATGATTTAAAACGTCTACAAAGAAATTTACTTGTGAAAAGAAATCTTGCATAACCATTCAAAGTTTAAAGAGCTATGTGAATTTTTAAATCAATCAGTTTCTGTATCTTCTATTAACGTTATATAATAAATAAATATTAAATGTATTAATTCAGTTATCGGCAGATAACTATAAGACTGTTGTTGTGAAGAATATGTTATAGCGTCTCTTTTATAAAATAACATATTTTAACGCAAAAATATACTTGATACACTATCTTGATAAATTTATTTGCATACATACATATTTTGTCGATTAAATAGAGTGAACCTTATTCTCTAAATAGACGTAAACTTTAATTTTCGATAATAAGCGCAATAATATATTCCCAGGCAGCACGCATGTCCAAAAATAGATCATAAAATATCTTATGATATGATGCGTAAAAGATTAAAGATTATAGAATTCGACCAGTAAGATATATTTAATTTTAATCCGTGTCATTCTGTCTTCTTGAATTCTAATCTTCATTTGTCTTTAAATTCTCATTTAAAGACAAATGCAATCATATATAATTATTAACAAAATTATTTTTTTTTAATGCATTTCTCAGAAATGAGCTGTAAGTCATTATACGTATTATTAAGTTATGTAGTAATTATTGTTTGCCTATCACGATACATTAAAAGATTTACGATACAGGAATAAGTGCTGCAGTGTTGTTCCAAAGTAAGTTTACATTACTTCGAAAAATTATAGTGTGGGGGACTGATAACAATTTAAGTAATCAGGAAAATTATCTGTTGTACCTGAGCACCCTCGCTCTTTTGAAACTGACAGTTTATAGAATTAATGAATATCCTGATAATGATGGCTTCCATCTTTTTTGATACTTGGTAGGCCATAATTTCTGATAATTTGATTCGACTAACGAGGGTTTGACACTCCTGTGTTAATTACTTTGCGCGAAACGGAAGTGCTGCTCATCTCCTTTATTTCTTCGATCTGCGAATCCTAATCCACGGAATCGAGAATGATGTGACATAATCGGAAGCGGAAAATATTACTCACTTGTCATGTGAGATTAATGAACGTCAAGCCAAAGTTGGAACGATATCGCTACTGCGGCAACAAAGTTGCACAGTAAGCAACTGTAATAACAAGGAATTTCAACTGTGGCTCAGTAAAACGGATTAAATGCGTTAAGGAACTAAAAGAGTTAATAAAATTAACTAATTAATTTAAACAAATATGAAAGTCATACAAATTAAGTAAATTAATACTTTTTTTAAATCAATTTGTTCCACTCTTAAAACTATATTTAAAGTCTCAGAATATGGATACTATATACATATATTCTATTTTGTTACTAGTATATTCTTCTATATTATTCGATTCTTTTAATATTTAATATATGTATATATATTTTAATATATGTATATATATATATATATATTTTTTTTTTTATTTAAAATTTTATTCTCCGCAAAAATTATTGATTTTAACTTTCGTTTGATTGTTCATTTATACGATCAAACATAAACTCACAATCAAAGTAAATATTTTTCCAATTAATTGGCTATGATAGGATCGTAAGAGCATAGCAAGGGTCTTTTTACCTTTGAGGACGTTCCTATAGGGCAGAATGGTGATGGCACCTTCCGCCGCGAACTCTTGATCCCGGACGGGGTAAACTTTGGCGCCCCACGAATCGCTACCCACCCACATGAAATGACCCGTGCGATTGGCCCTTATTGTTGCCTGAAGCAGCTTCCTGCAACAAGATAAACCGAGTGATAAGGATAGATGAATTATGAGCAATGATGAGCGCGGCTGCCATTAACCCACCACACGTACAATAGGATCTTCTATACATATGTATATATGACCCTCGCAATCAGTTAACTAAATTCACAACGTCACAAGATATTGTTCCCTGTTTCGCTTCTTGTTATTACTCTTGTTTGTAATATAATTCAAATTTCTTGAAAATGTAGCGATGTGTAGTTTTCTGTCATCTTTATTGTTAATATTATTTTAATATAAGAATGCATTTTATAATATCATACATCTAGTTAATACGCGCGCGCGCGTATTCTATTTCTTATAACATATATATAATATTTCTAGGTATCTAAATAATGACATTAATTATATAGAAATTTCATTCACTGTGACTTTAATAGAAACGTTTTTCCAAAATAAATTTGAGAGCGCCTTTGACAATCGAGGTACTGGATCTTGGTGCCTAATAATATTTTTATATGAATTTTAAATCCATTATTCAGCATTATTATTAAACTGCGCGCCGAATTAATGTCGGACATGCAACGCAATCATTAGCTGAAATTGGAATAATGAGATCATAATTGATATTCAATTTTTAATAATCCGATGCGAATGGGCATCTTAAAACACTGCGAAGAAATTATTACGAAAAACATTACCTCAGCCAGGGTTTGAACCTGGAACCTCTCGACTTTCCGGAGCGGGCGCCTTTATCCAATTCGACCACCAAATAAAAAAATATTTTTCTCACATGTATGTGTAAAGTTATTACATTCATTAAATTAGGAAAGGCACACACACATTATTATAGCTTTTTTTTTTTAATTTTCGGTGCAAATATGAGACTGCACTGAAACAATTGTTTCTACCTTGTTAAACAATCGATTTATAGACTGACTTGGTCAATAATAAGTACTTGACTTAACTCGATCGTAGTAATAAGAAGATTGTCGAAAAGACGAGATCTCGTATTACAACGTCAACTTGAGTTCCGTAGGGAACTGCGATGGGATTCAATCGCGTTAATCCGGAAAGATATCGACGCCGCGACGGGAGAAACGCCGATAGTGTGCCGCAGATCAATATCAACTTATCGGACCATGGAAATCGAATCGTTCTGGTAATGGCTTTTCTCCGGCGTGGCGTCGGGAAACCGACAGCCCAGAAGTCAATTATTTGCCTCGCGAGGATCAAGTCGAGGACGAGGATCGTAAGCAACCCAGAGACATCGTGTTCGACAGAATTCGCCGATGGACGAACAGCGGGAATCTGCGACCGATCGTTATCTCGTAATTCCCGCGAGCTCGGAAAACAACGTCGCTTGTTCGCGTGTTTACGTCAACGACGTGCAGTTTCTTCATCCTTTTTCGAAAAGGGCGTCGCGCCCCGACATTTGCTTCATTGCGTTCATCTTCGTTAAGGGAAACTTTCAGACGCGCGTCAACTACAAGAGTAGATCCTTGATTCTAATTTCTTTGATATTTTTATTTTTTCGGTTAGGTTTTCAAACAAAAACAATTAATTCGGGGTTAGTTACTTTCCAATTGTAAGTAAAAGCGCTTATTAACTTTTGACTGTTCTTTCTAGATCTGTAATAAATTTTTATGTATAATGTATAAAATAAGATTTAATATAAATAATACAATGAAATTTATATTGTATATAATGTAAAAAATTGGGGAAAATAGAATTGTAATTTCATAGATCTAATTTGTTCATAGAAAATGTATAAAATACGTCAACAAAAATGTAGTGAATAAACGTAATAAAAAAGATAAATTGGCAAGTTTTTGGATTTCTTCTCATATCGGAAATTTATAGCCAATATAATATAGCTACATCTGTGATTTTATTTATCTCATGATGAAGATCACATACAACGTTATCTCGAGCTAAAATGAAATGAAATCTAGCGTTAAGTTTATGATATGAATACCTAGTTAGCACAATTAAACTATGTGTACAGTACTACTGAAAGATGGATCTGGTTGGATTTAATGCTATAAGAGTAGTTAGGTAACAGTAGTGATATTTCATAACTTAATTACAGTTGTTCCAAATTTCATTACTTAGAGGAAAACCGTTCATTTAAAAAGCATTTTAAGATATATATATATTATACAAAACGCGAAAAGGAGAAGGCTTTCTTCAGGATACGATTGGTACGAAGCCTATTTTCATATGTTAATCCAATTATTAAAGCAAACTAGTTGTTAAACAATCAAAATTATTATCCAAAGTTTTTATCTCTTTTATACAATTACAACTAGGTATAAAACAGTTGAAACATTTTTATTCATTAATCTACGATAAGATATCAAATAGTGACACATTATCTCCATGTACAGAGAAGGAAGTAATATTAAAGAGATAACAAAATATTAATTAATTACATTTATACTTGAAATTCTTCCTGATTAAAACTATTAAAATTCTAGGTTGTATCTTATATTTGCCGTGTCACGAACACTGCATGCGAGAGGTTTGCGTAGTGGAGATATTTAAATTCTTAATTTAGATTGCCGGCTATCTCTCTTTTTCTTTCTTCGTCTTTATGCATTTTGTCGCGTGTAAGCCTCTTTTCCACTCGCGCCCCGTTTCTACCTAAGAAGATTAGTCGTCGGAAAAAGTAACCGAAAATCCCTTCCAGCGCACTATAGGAAATAACATCGCATCCGAATGGCCGAACTAGAATTCAATTAAACAACTTTCTCGTATTGCAAAAAATCGAAATACGACCTGTGCAAAAACTTTTCTAATCCGATGTGTGATCCAATCTATGTCACAGTCAGAGTACACATTGCTTGATCCATGCGGCTATATTTATATACAGAAAATTCGATATGTGTGAGTTATAGTAAAGTCATTTTGTAATTACTTAATGTAAAGAGGAGGAATATTATACATTTCGGTATAGATCATTTGTACGATCTGATGTGTTATACAATAATAATAAGATATAAATCAATATGTAGCATATAAATTTTTTTTTATAATTAAGTTTCTCTCAAATTTTACTGAAGTATTTTTCTAATAGTAAAAGATTAAGAAAATATATAAATATGTTAAAATAATATGTCACTTCATTATATACATGCATCTAAATTTAAATATAGCATGCACTGTCCTTGTCAATATAAATAGACATTTTGTTTTCAGAATAATCACGACAGTGCAATGTCTTAAATGTTTTAATGTTGTATTTCAAACATATAACACTGTTCACTTCCAAGATATTGGAGAACAATTCATTGAAGAAAGTTGGCGACATGTTGTGGAATAAAGTGAAGCGCAAACGTGAGGGGGTCGTCCAGCGATCGATCTTACTACAATATATACGAGGTCATGGATTCCGATCGCTACCAGGAATGTAACTATATCCATTTCTGCTTCTGTTTCGCCCAGTGAAGGATAAAGGAAGGAAGTGGGAAATGTACAACCGATCGAGCCTCCCACACTTTTAGCTGAAAGTTTGACCAGTTTCAAGCGGATTGCAGTAAAGTCCAGCCACTGTTGTACTATACTGATATGTCGGCAACAAATCGAGAATAACTCTGGAAATACTTCTTGAAACTACATTTAAAATTTTTCGAAGAGTGTGCCGTTTGTTCGTAACATATAGATAGCCACGTAGTATTTGTGAAATTATTTTACGAGTATTTTCTTCAAAAATGGGTCACTAGATAGTTTGCAACTTGCAAACGATCATAAACTGAATAAAAATGTCAATAGTCATTCTGCAGTCTACAGGCCGTACTCTGATCTTTGTTAGATTCCTCTCCATTTCATGTACGGATCCTTTTTTTAATAATTTTCAAAGATTTGATAAGTCGCAGTTTTGTCATAGGTTTGTAATATTTATATAGCTTATAAGCTTTACATTACTTATGAGCTCTACTTTGCTTGTAAGCTTTTAATACTAGTACAATAAATTTCTATGCATAAATACTACAATTTAACAATACAAATTTTACCGAAAAAATGGAGAACAAGCTAAAAAAATTATTATATAAAGATTATAATATAAATAAAAACTTATGAAAAAATAAAGTATTAAATTTTTATTGAGAACAGATCAATGTTAAATTTATTAAAAAATCTATACGTTAAAGAAACAAAAATTATTTTAAAATAGTTTACATATATACATGGTTTGTCTCAAAAGTAATGAGACTATTTTTGGCTGCAATCAGAATTGTCGGAGGGAGGATTCATTGGACGAGGCTTTTCATGCAAGATGTCAGGTATACGCAGTCAGGTATGTCCTTCCCAGTTGCCACCGAGCTTTTCTAACAGTTGATATCGTCAGTAAAGTGTGTTGTAATTTTTGTGTTTTGTCACGGTCGAAAATTTAGCAGTCTCGAGAAGCAGCGATCAAATTCTGCGTAAAACTGAGAAAATCTGGTTCCGAAACATTGAAGATGCAGTTGAAAATAGTTTATGGAGGGTGCTGCTTCGTCTTCAGAGTTTGATCGCGTAACACTGCTCAAAATACAGCACAGTCTGTGCTGAATTTTCGCTCGTGACAAAATACAAAACTTACAACACGACTTTCCCAACGGTATCGACTGCTAGAAAGGTTCGAAGGCAATTGAGAAGGGTCAGATTGTATATACCTAACATCCCGCACCTGCAAAGGCTCTGTCCAATGGATCCCTCCCCTCCCCCCGACAATTCTGATTAGACCCCCAAAAATAGTCTCATTACTTTTGGGACAGACCATGTATATACATAACATGTATAATAATTATTATATCAATTAAAGATTTAAATGACGAAAATAAAATAAACAGCTATTTTATAGATATTCTGTTGAATTACATGACAAAAAGTAAAACTCCAATAAAATTTTTCTTTAAGAAATCAATTACGGAATCGTGATTAATAAAAGAATTGACTTTTGGCTTGGTGTTTTTTAGTGGGTTCTATCTATGATCTCTCTCGATGAAAATACCATTCTTTTATCGAGCTAATTACCATAATAAA